AGTTGTTACTGAGTCAGAATGTAGATGAGTGTAGACTGACCTGATGGATCACCATCACGGAAATGCTCGCGGTCTGGATCGCGACGGACTTGATAGCGCGTACAACGCGAAAGGCATTGGTTGAATCCAACCCCGAGGTTGGCTCGTCGAGAAACAGAATCTTCGGGTCGCTCACCATCTCCACCCCTATCGCCACTCGCTTTCGCTCACCGCCAGAAACGCCTCTGCGAAAGCAAGAAGAGGTAACCAAATGGAACCAGTCACAGTTTTATCTACATGTTCATGTGAATACGTGAGGCCTGCGGTTTACTGAGGCACATCAAGTGGCTTGCATGATGCCAGTCAGGGTCAGGGTTGGGGTTTAGTGGAATTAAGTGGCTTTAATCGTCTCCCGTGGCGCTCACCTTTTCCTTTCGCCGCCGATCAGCGTTTCCGCCACTTTCGTCAGTCCAAGCAGGTCGATCAGCCGCGCGACCTTCTCCTCCTTCTCGCGTCGCGTGAATTTCGGCTCGACACGCAATTCCGCGGCGTACATGAGCGTCTCGCGCACCGTGAGCGACGGAAACAGCACGTCGTCTTGCATCACGTACGCGGAAACCCGCCGCATCGTCCCCGCGTGTATCTCCGCGCCGTCCAGCTCCACCGTCCCCCTCCGCCGCCCCGACGAGATCCGCTGCGCCAGTATGTTCAGCAGCGTCGTCTTTCCGCCTCCGCTTGCGCCCATGATCGCCGTCACCTCCCCCGACCGCGCCTCGCCGTTCACGCCCGTTAGGATCTGCCGCCGAACGCGCTTCTTGCGCAAACCGCCGAACATGCCGCCGCCTGGCGCGGCGCCGGTTTCGCCGCCGGTTGCAACTCCATCCGCTCCCGGCGCACCAGCTTGCGCCGCGGAAGGCTCCTGAAACCCCTGCCGAGGCGGCAGTCCGGGGACATTTGCTAGAGTGCTGTCCTGCCGCGCGTATTGCGGGCCGGCAGCGGAAGGCTCCCCTTTGCGCTGCTTGACGTAGACGGAGTAGCAGATGTTGTGGAAGGTCAGCACAGAAGCGGGGGCGGCGGAGGCTGCGTCGGCGGAAGGCGAGAACATCTTGCTTGCGGCGTCGCGTTTGAGCGATTCAATCTCGATCGTCAGATCCTCAGATGACGACGTGGAAAGCGTGTCGCTGTCGTCGTCGGAAGAGTCGTCGGGAAAGTCGTAGTCGTCGCGAATATTTTCAACGACAACGTGGTCGCGGTTGTAAATCGCTGGCTGCTGCGGGGCCGCGGCGGTTCTAGTTTCTGCAGGGACAGACATCATTTCGGACCTACTATAAAAGTGGCTCGCCATGGCGTGCGACGAGGAGGCTTCGCCTAGGACACGAGGGGTCACGACCAGTAGGAGAATTTCTTCCCGGTTTAACTGCTAATGGGAGGCGCAATCTGATATGGGCAAATAGAAGATGCGACGGGATTATCAATCGATCTGTTTTTGTAGAGCATGAGTCCCGACGCCTTGGGTACAATTCACGGAGGCAAGAATAATGGCGACGATTATTGCTTCATAAGAAGCTGCTACTTTCAAAAGCACACGAAGCCGAAACTCTCAGCCCGCATTCCCTCCGTCGTAGGCAGATCGATACGGACCATCCTGCTCAGCCGACTTAGCCTTGCCGAGTCGGTGAACCGTGAATCCGTGATCCCCGCTTTCTGTGAAGCAGATGTAGCAGTGGCGCACACGAAACTCGAGAAAGTGTGAAATAATTGTGTCAGGAGGGAGGTTGGTTGGTTTGGGGGGACCCCTAGCTTCGCGTGCTGAAGGCGCTTCGCGGGCTCGGTGTCGGTGACATTGAACCGCTCTGGAAACCATCGGAACGTACGGAACCACCAGCCGAGTCGGAAATTCGACCGGAGGATGACGAATTTTGTCTGTATTTGTCTGTGGACTAGGTGGTATTGATATGAATTTTGGGTGGGGTGGATTTGGATTTAGGACCAGCAATTTCGCGGCTCGGACTCCCAGCAAGAAGGTACCAATAATTGCTAGGAGGGAATCAGAGACAAAGCACTGACGATCAATAACGAAATGTAAACTTTTTAAAGTGTGTAACACTTTTCAAAATTGTGTATTGTGAATAGCGAAGCGAGTTGTACCGAAGCAAAGGCTTCGGCGAACCGCTACTTCCCCTCTTTTTGGTACAAAAGAGGGGGCGAAGGCCATTTGGCCTTCACCCACGTTTTCATTTCGAACTTTCAATTTCAAGTTTCCCACCCTCCCACCCTAGCATAACGTACATGATAGCTCTGAATGTTGTATGATGCTTGGACGATAAAATCTTGTACTTGCCAGTTGAAATGAGACGTTGCATTTGCAAGGCAAATCGCAAGCTTTCACAATACACTTGATCTGTAAGAAACAGAGCATAAAATATAGGTACTGGATAAGCAAATGCACACTGAAAAAACAGAGAAAAGAAGCTATCAGCTGCCCTTACATCATGATTCGCCTTGCTCCAACTCGCAACTATAGGCCATGAGCACAAAACAAAGCCAAGACGCTAGCAACTCATTGTTACAAAACACAACATATTACAACAACAAATGATTTTACACTCACCCAACCTCACTTTCCCACAGCCGTTCTACACTGTGCATCCGAAACCACATATCCACATTCTCTTCTTCTTCTTGGCCCGCCAAAGACCGAGCAGCAGCAGGTAATGAGCTTCGCAGCAAGCCCGATTGCGAGCACCACGTTGCCAGGCACTCCCATTTGCCCAGCGGATCCAATGAGCTATTCACCAGCAGCTGCGGGTCTGTGACCAAGCACCCTCCCATCTTCTCTATTTATGTTTGGCCCGCCGAAGCCTCACCAGCAGCAGCAAGGTGATGAGCTTCACAACAAGCCCGATCGCGAGCAGCACAGCTAGGCACTCCCACTTGCCCAGCTGATCCACCGACCGATTCACCAGCAGCTGCGGGCCTGTGACCAGGCACCCTCCCATCTTCTCTACTTCTGCTTGGCCTCCCGAAGCCTCACCAGCAGCAGCAAGGTGATGAGCTTCACAACAAGCCCGATCGCGAGCAGCACAGCCAGGCACTCCCACTTGCCCAGCTGCTCCAATGCCCGATTCACCAGCAGCTGTGGGCCGGTGAGCAGGAACACTCCCATCTTCTCTACTTCTGCTTGGCCTGCCTAAGCCTCACGAGCAGCACCAGGGTAATGAGCTTCACGACAAGACCAATCGCGAGCAGCACGGCCAGGCACTCCCACTTTCCCAGCTGATCCAACGCCCGATTCGCAAGCAGCTGCGGGCCTGTCAGCAAGCACCCGCCCACACCTCCCCCGCCTCTCTCCACTGTCGCCCTCATCTCAGGGGACAACCCGCTAAGAGCTGACTCGCGAAGCGGGTTTGTAAAGAGTGTGGTGGAGAGAAGCTGGGTCTGCAGCTGCTCTGGGGTTGGGATTGGAGAGCCTCCAGGTGGGCTTGGAGGGGCGGCCAGTGAGTTAGAGAGTGATGTGGGTGTGGTGGGGATGTTTCCGAAAAGGTTTGGGAAGCTGGAGTCAGTGACATTCAGGTAGCAAGGGCTCGGCCTGGTGGGAAGGCGTGGGTTGGGGGGGAAGACAAGGGATGAGAGGGAGGAAAGGGATGAGGGAGAGGACAGAAATGAGAGGGAAGGCGCGTGATGAGAGAGAATGGGATGAAAGATAAAAGATGGGATGAGAGAGGAGAGATGGGAAGAGAGAAAAGAGTAAGGGGTGTGGAACAAATTGGATGAGAGTGACAGTAAGGCGAGAGGAACACACAGGATGAGAGTGACAGTAAGGCGAGAGGAGCACACAGGATGAGAGTGACAGTAAGGCAACTGGGGCACTGCAAGGGAAGGTTGCGGATATAATCTGGAAAGATGAAACAATTTGTTGGAAGTAATGTTGCCTAGCTGCGACACACCGAGAGCAAAGAGGGGAGTTGTGGGGGGACATGGCGGGAGTAAAGTGGCAAGAAGAAGGGAGTAGGCTGCAATTCACCTGTTGAATTGGTTGATAGCAAGAGCTTCATAAGCGTATTTGAAGGGTGAGATGTAGTGTAGCCATATAAGCGCCATGGTCATTTGCTTCCTTGTAACGTAGTAGCCACTAACGAGGTAGAAGTAAGACATGACTGCAATTGCAGTTGCATATGCGAGGACGACACTGCAAGGTACGATGGGTGGTCATGAGGGGAAATACAAACAACATAGACGGGTAGGGTATGATTGTTATGAGGGCGCTTCTAATTGTTTTATTCATATTGTATGCGTCTTTAGTAGACTCAAGAACATGACCTTAAGGTAATGGACCATGCACCCCCATATGAAGCCCAAGCCATTTACTCCTTGCGTATATGCTGACACTCCCATGTGAACATGTCCTTAAGGTAAGGACCATGCACCCCCATACGAATATGCACCCCCATATGAAGCCCAAGCCACTCACTCCTTGACGCATATGCTGACACACGTCGCGATGCCATTGGCTGCGAAGAACATGACAAAAAACGCCACCACCATGAAGAGAAACCCCTCAGCACCGCCAGCAAGGCTGATGCTCCACCAGGAGACGGCCGTGAGAAGCAAGGCCATGAGGAAGTGCAGTGGTAGGTACACGAGTGTTGATGAAACCAGGTAGGTGGAAGGCCTATACGCGTTATTGGCTGATTCCCTCACGAAAATTGCAGATTCCTGAGCGGTGCAGCACGGAGAAGGGGGTGGAAGTGATGAAGGAGGGTGCACTTGAAGAGATGTAGTTGGAACACATTTGAATACCTTTTATGTGTATTATATATAAATATTTATTTATGGATAGATTATGACGTGTCTTTCAGTATTGCAACACCAACTGTGTCGCACCTGCAATTCCTTAAAAAATCAGGAATCATAGAACCATGTCATTTCAGAACAGCAGTCACACTGTTGTAAAAGCGTGGGAGACGGTGCAAGACGGACAGAGAGGTAGACCATCTCCCATCGCAAAATCGGCCTGAGTATCATACCTCAATAAATATCGGGACAGCATCGCAGGAGGTGAAGAAAACAATGCAGCAAGCGCACGACAGGAAGGACAGCCGAATGATGAGTCCCTCGGGCCTGCAAAACCATTAATGGCGTAACGGGAAATGAAAACAAGAAAAAAGGGAACAGATATGTTTCCTGCTCCTTGCCCCTCACCGTTATTCCCAACAGCCCACAGCCGATCACAGAATCTGCCCAAGCACTCTGGCATTTCCACTCACGTTTCAGCTGGCCTCCAGAACAGAATCGCTAGAAGCAGGCCCGCAATAAGGATGAGCGCCAGCCTCAGCAGGTACAGCGCAGGAGTGCGCATGATGTTCGTTGTAGCCCTCCTCGTCAGCACCCACAGCTCCCGGAACCATCCGTTTGCAAATTCCCTCCCCTTCGTCTCCTCCTCATTCCCCACCACCTCCTTTTTTATGCTAAGTCGTCCCCAGGCCGGAATTTCCTTGGAAGATTTTGGATCAGATGTATCACTAGGGACCTTGAACGGTTTCTGAGCCGCAGCTACAGGGTCGGCCAGGCCTTCTCGGCAGGCTTGGGCGTAGGCCTGGATGTCGGTAACACCCTGGGCTTGTAACACGGCCATGACATCCAAGCCATGCTCTGTGCTGTTCGAACCTTCCGGAACTGGGCTTCCCAGAGAGGCGAGGAAATGCGGGAGGCCAGCAGGTGGGCCTAGGTAGGCTGTCTGGCCGACGCCTAGGAGGAGTAGCTTGTCGATGACGCACAGTACGCGATACGAAGGCTGGAAAAATGAACAAGAAAATTGAACGGGTTATTTTTTTTTTTTGGAAAAAAATGGTTTCGAACGGGTTAAGCGTTGGAAGAGATACGCATAGAATGGTTGGGCTCACCTGGTGGATCACCATCATGCAGATGCTCGCAGTCTGAATCGCGACGGACTTCATAGCGCGGACGACGCGGTAAGCGCTGGTTGAATCCAACCCCGAGGTTGGCTCGTCGAGAAACAGAATCTTCGGGTCGCTCACCATCTCCACCCCTATCGCCACTCGCTTTCGCTCACCGCCAGAAACGCCCCTGCGAGAAACAAGGAGTAAAAAAACAGACGTCCCTTGGTGTAAATTCGTGCCCAACCAAGTGTAATACCGTTGTAAATATGCGACCCGTGTTTCAATTGAACTCATATTCAGTCGAAAATGCGGTTATCATCGGACCTCTCGTTGACGATAGAAAGCTCACCTCTTGCTCTCCCCACCGATCGGTGAGTTCTCAACTTTCGTCAGCCCGAGCATGTCGATCAGCCGCGCGACCTTCTCCTCCTTCTCGCGTCGCGTGAATTTCGGCTCGAGGCGCAGCTCCGCGGCGTACATGAGCGTCTCGCGCACCGTGAGCGACGGAAACAGCACGTCGTCTTGCATCACGTACGCGGACACGCGCCGCATCATCCCCGCGTGTATCTCCGCGCCGTCCAGCTCCACCGTCCCCCTCCGCCGCCCCGACGAGATCCGCTGCGCCAGGATGTTCAGCAGCGTCGTCTTTCCGCCTCCGCTTGCGCCCATGATCGCCGTCACCTCTCCGGACCGCGCTTCGCCGTTCACGCCGGTCAAGATCTGCCTCCGAACGCGTTTCCGCCGGAATCCGTCGGCGATCCCGCCGCCGCCAGTTGCGCCGCCATCTGCTTGCGCCGCGGCCGCGGAAACCGGCGGCTCTTCAATGCCCGGCTGAGGCGGCAATCCCGGGAAATTCGCGAGGGTGCTGTCCTGCCGCGCGAACCGCGGGCCGGCGGCGGAAGTTTCCCCCTTGCGCAGCTTGACGTAAACGGAGTAGCAGATGTTGCGGAAGGTCAGCACGGAGGCGGGGCCAGTGGAGGCTGCGTCGGCGGAAGGCGAGATTTTCTTGCTGGCCGCGTCGCGTTTGAGCTCTTCGACCTCGGTCGTCAGGTCCTCAGATGAGGACGTGGAGAATGTGTCGTCATCGTCGTTGCTGTCGTCATTGGAATACTCGTAGTAGTCGTATTCTTCGTCTACATTGTAAACAGTAACCTGGTCTATATTGTGAATTGGAGGCCGCGGCGGGGCCGAGGCGCTGGTTTCTGTAGGGCCAGACATTCCAGCTAGCTGATGGGCGCTATGAGATAAGTTCTACTGGTAAGAACGCTTCTCCGTGGCACTCTTGCCTTATTTGCGCTTTGAGCTAACAGAAGCAAGGGCAAAATTGCGAGAGCGAAATGGCAACTATACCGTGCCTAGGCGAAGTGAATTATTGCAATGCGAGAGACACTGCTTTCGCATTGGCGGTTACCGTACATGAAGCCGCTAGCTTGTACAGGACCACGGAAGAATATGCGTTAACCGAGCTTCACCGAAGCTGAAAAGCAATCTGGGCCTCTCGGATGTCTGTACCAGCATGCAATCGCGCTGCGATAAAATGGAACGCGTTCCCGAATATTATTTTCAGGGACCCTGAAGCTCCTACATTGGCGACACGAAAATGTGTGAGTTGCACTTGTATAGACTTCCGACTGGTATGGCTTCAAACTTCGGCGTAGCCAATCATGGGGGTACCCAATGCTTTGTTGAGTGCTGTACGAATCCTTGGACACAAAAGACGTCAAGCTTTAGGGTGACCGTTGAAAATTCTCGGAAAGTTGAGGAGATCTGGGTGTGTACCCTTCAAGCTTCAATGTTGAACAGCACAAATCGCGGGAAACGCGGTAACAATCATAAGTTGGGGAACAAGGGAACGCGATAAGCGATAACAATTGTCGGGACAAAAACTCTGGGAACTGTAAGAATTGCAAGTATAAAGGGCTAGAAAATTGCTCAGACGGGGAAAAATATACCGTATGTGCAGGAATATTCGAGCAATATACTCCAAAGATAACTGATCGGCCTAATATGGTCGGTGCTGTGTAGGTTCGGCTAGCTTACTGGCCATCTTTGCGGCCTACTCAGGAAATGTTCATACTTCCTGTACATACTAATATCCATGTGCTCCTCATGAGTGTAGCTATTGTATCATCGTATGTGTGGTGTGGGCACCATGTGGAGGATCCCTTTCCTAGAAAAGGCGTTGTCTGTTTCGCTCGTTGAATACCGTCTCTTGAAGAGCAGCTAGCTTTCTGGCAGAGATAAGACCAAACAGACCACAACAGAGCACAACAGGGCACACCAGGAGCACAGATTACTGAAGTGTACATCGATTTAGCACAATGTGTGCGATTTTCAGTCAAACAAAAGAACGATACAGGATTGTAAGGCAACCGGGAAAGGAATTTTGAAAGAGCAATCCAAGCAGGCCTCTCGTAATCAGGGTAAAATACCCTTTTTGCACTGACTGGCGGCCGCTTTTTTTCAGTTACCCTTTCACAGGCAGGGTAGTGGATTTTTTACCCTAGGCCAGAAAGTGTAAGATTTTTAATACCCTTTGAAAAACAGCGTAACGAACATATTTCTCTGACTGTACAGTGTACAAGCCCGGGACGAAACACTGATCCGAACAGACCGTAGCGAGACGAAACACTGTAGCAATACCCTCCCGACAATGAGACTTGAACCAGCGACCTTCTAGATCTAATTCGGAATCGAACCAACTGAGCCAACAACTATGATACCTTTTGCTTTAGCATTATACATGTATGCATATCGTAATAAATACCCTGACCAATCAGACTTACAATTTTTTTACCCTGCATTTGTCAGGGAAACAAAAAAATTACCCTGAGCATCAGGGTTGACTATACCTAGGACCCTGATTACTAAGGGTCGCCCAAAACGAATCTGAAGGCCTGAATCCAAGGAGCACTGAGAAGAGAGTAGAGGAGAGGAGATGAGAGGAGAGGAGAGGAGAGGAGAGGAGAGGAGAGGAGAGGAGAGAAGAGGAGAGGAGAGGAGAGGAGAGGAGGGGGAGGAGGCTCACCTTTTATTGCACTGCAGCACAAACTCCTCAACAGTGGCAGGCTGTTGCAGCCCCCATGAGTCCCAGTGACCATAAGGTTGTTTCTAATTCCTCAACTCAGTTGACTAAAAAGCTCACCTTTTATTGCACTGCAGCACCAGTTCCTCAACAGTAGCAGGCTGTTGCAGCTCCCACGAGTTCAACTGACCCAGCGACACACCGGCACACGCAGGTGCACCATCCCACAGAGGTGCGCTCTCACACGCAGACAAATCAGCAGCGGTCCGTTCAAGTAGGGGCAGTGGAGCAGAAGCATGACGGGCAAAGGAGGCTGCTGCTGCCGCTGCTCCTGCTGCTCCTGCTGCTCCTGCTGCTGATAAGTGCCGTTTCAACTGCATGCCATCGTGCTGCCGTAGGACGTGTGCACTCCCTGCACTGATGGCAGCAGCATTGACAGCACCCTTGATGGCACCGTTGACGGCACCGATGCCACCACAAGCAGGAGCAGCAGCAGCAGCCGCAGCAGCACCACCAGCAACGGCAGCAAGAGTGGCCATGCCAGTGTGCAATCTGCTCGCCTGCTGCCCCTGCCTGATTCGGTCCAGCAGCGCCTGTCTATACACCCCCTGCACTGCTTCTACTGCTTCTACTGCTTCTGCTGCTGCTGCTGCTGCCGCTGCTGCTGCTTTATGAGGCGCCTCAAAGCTTGCCTGCTGCCCCTGCCTGATTCGTTCCAGCAGCGCTTGTCTATACACCCCCTGCACTGCTTCTACTGCTGCTGCTGCTGCCATCGCGTCCCGTCCTCCCATCACCACATCGTTCCCTACCGCACCCAACCCTACCGCACCCAACCCTGTTGCACCCAACGATCCAAACGTGAATTCTCCTCTGCCACTTGACAATTCCCCCGCACCGCCTGCTGCGCGATTGGAACGCACATCACCAGCCAAACCAACAGCTTCGGCCAAACCAACAGCTTCGGCCAAACCTGCCCGCTGTTCTGCATTCAGCACCGAATTCGCATTCAACCCCGGACTCGCATGTAACCCCTGACTCGCAGCCAAAAGCTGAATGCTCCCAGCTAGCAACCCTCCCCCCCACCCGCTTCCACCCATTCCCCCTTCCCCTACCAGCTCCGCCTGAACACTCTCTCTTGCGCGCCCCTCCCCCTGGCCCAACCCGCTGCCACTTCCAGCCGTCGCGGCGTTCTGATGCGCCTCATGCCCGCGCGCATTCCCCGCCACCGCTGGCGCCCGCGGCTGCATACCGCCCCCCGCTGCAGTTCCCCGCGCCTGCAATCCCCCCGGCCCTGCAGTTCCCCGCGCCTGCAAGCCCCCAGGGCCGAGCACCTTTGCCAGCCACTCGTTGATGTCCTCCTCGCGCGGCGTCCGCGCCGCCACCCACGCCGCACCCGCTCCAAGCCTCCCCTCGCTCCCCGCAGCTCCCCCTTCCCCCTCCACTTCACCTTGACCCGTTGCCGCTGCCGCTGTCGCTGTTGCTGTTGCTGTTCCCGTTGCTGTTCCGCCTTCCCCAGACCCAGCGGGAGCGGAAGCGGACCGCGGGAGACACGGAAGCGCCGCGGATGATGGCGCAGCGGCGGGGAGCGAATCGAACGGACGAGAGGAGAGCGAATCGGACGGATGGGAGGAGATATGCGAGACGAGATTGCTTTGCGACGGGCAGTTGACGGACGGGACGCCGCCGCAGGTGCTGCGCGCCGATGCCGCGGCTAGCAGCAGATCATCCCGCCGCCGTTCGATTCCCATGAACTGCAGCGGATCCGTGCCACGTGTCATGCCTAGAAGCGCCGCCAGAGCCGCGGGTAAAGGGGAAGTGGATAGGGCGGCGGCGCTCGGCGCGCATGGGGGCTGGGGGGACGCGGGCAGAGGTTGCGCATGGAACGGCTGCAGAGGTTCGGGTATGGAAGGCCAGGAATGAGGCTCGAAGCGAGGTTCGGAAAGAGGCTCCGGAAGAGGCTCGGCAAGGTCGCCGTTGGTTCGGGAGGGCGGAGCGGAGAACGTGGGGATGGGCGGAGAAGATCGGCTCAAGGGCTGCGGCATCAGCGGCGGCACATGCGGCGGCACAGGCGGCGACGCCACGGTGTCGGAAAGCAGGCGGGTTATCGCATCTCCGAGATTTGCGGAGCCGTTCCGGGCTATGGTGGCGCCACCACCGCGTACTGACGAGTTCCCTTGGATCAGTAACGAGTTTTCGCGGACTAAGGGACCCGTTACTGCTACTAAGTTGAAGGGTGTCGAGCAAGGTTGGGTGGCGCCGTTATTAGTAGCGTCGGTTCTAAGACCCGTCGAGGAAAGAAGCGACATCGTGCTTATAGGGACTGCTGGCGTTGCCTTCGCGCTGCTGTACCCATCGCCGCCAAAGCCGCCGTCGAAAGCGCCGCCTGAGCCGCCGCTGTATCCGCCGCCGAGTCCGCAGCCGCCGCCACAGCTGCCATTTGCCCCGCTTCCCCCGTTCGCGTCGCCTCCCCTATTGCCGCTTCGTTCGATCGTGCCGCTCCCGCTTCTGCTGCCGGACGCTGCCGACCCCGCCGGCTGCTGTGTCGGCGGACGGCACGCACGAACTGACGTCGCCGCCTCGTTACAAGCCGTCCCGTTATAGCCCGGCGTGTCGCACGCGGCTGTCGTCGCTGCCGTCGCGGGATCCGGAGGCGCCACGGAGTTGCCGTGCGACGCTGAGGCCACGCTCCTGCGAATTCCGATGCTGACAGTATCGCGTATATCAGTCTTGCCGTTGCTATTCGTCAGGTCGCCGTTTTCGTCAGGTTGCTCTTCGCTAACGTTCTCGCTATGCGTCGCGGCGGGGCGAGCGGCGGAAAGATTGGGCAGCGCGACGCGGCCTGTGGCGGCGGCGATGAGCATGGCGTGTGCCTGGAGGCGCGAAAGCGATTGCTGCGGCTGCGGCTGATGCGGGTGCTGCGGCGGGTCGGCGGAGATGTTCGAAGCGGGGGAGGCGGCGGAAACGGGACTGGTTGCGGGGGAAGCCGCAACATGCGGTTGATGACGCGACGCCGGCTGCTGTGGCTGCGACTGCTGCGGCCGCTGCGGCTGAGGCAGGTCCGCGGAGGAGTTGAAAGCGGAAGCGGAAGAAGTCGCAGCCGCGGAGGCATCGTAAGGTACTAGAACGGCATGCGCGGAGGACAGCGGGAGTGGCGTCATGGCGCCGACCGACGCAGCGTTGGCCATACCCGCCGCTGGTGACCGCCGCTCGGAAATAATCGAGACGTTCTGAAACTCTCACCTTTACTACACTATAACATACGGGTTCTTCTGTCTACGAGCTTCTGGCTGATACAGCTGTCCGCTTCGTTACTGTATTATCGGCCGCCTCGCCTCTCCTAGTGCTGTCTTCCGTACTCGGCTAGTACAAAGGTCATTGCCGCTTCGGGATTATGGCAGTCACGGTGATGCTCATCTTTCACTTCCCCGCGAGTCGACGGCTGGCTTCTGCGTGTGCTCACCGCATAACTCACACGACATCGTGTTTACGGGTGAACCGCTAATGTTGATTGGTTCGCGTCGAAAATAGTGCCAACAATGGACGCCGCATGGGCGATGTGGGAAGGAGGGGAGCGAGCGAGCAGCCATGGCTGCAGCTGATGATCTGGGATGGCAGCGCCAATGGGGAAGTGGGAGTGGGGGGGAAGATATGAGGGGAAGGGGAATGATTGGGGGAGGGAAAGGAAGGCGCAGTGAGGAGGAATATTGGTGGTGTTCTGGTGACTCCTGCGGGGGGGGGAGGTGGGGGGGCGAATGTAAATGATGATACTTCAGAGGGTGTTTCGGGGCTCGATTTCTCCACCTCCCGCTACAACCGAAGAAGGGAAATTTCGTGCGCGAGGTGAGGAAGGCTCCCACGGTAAATGAAGAACCTGTGGGTACATTTTCCTGGTCCAAAAACGGGGGTATCGTATTTGGCGGGAACAGGCAAAAGGGGTACAAACAAAATCCAGGGTGACTCCTTCTTGATAGAAAAACACCTCGCCAGGAACAAACACCTCACTGAAGGGGACGTGGTTTTTTTTTTTTTTTTTTTTTTCTGCTTCAGGCGCGTGTGTGTGGGGCGTGCAGTCACGCAGCCTTTAATTTCACGGGCAGAACGTCGTTTTCCCTCCCCCAGCTCCTCCCTCGCATGGCTGTCCCACTTCCCCGTGAAGAGAGTGGTTGCCGGAATGGGGGGCGAGGGAGGCAAAATTTGCCTGAGGAGGAAGGTGGGGAGGGTAATGTGCAGCTTCCAAGGGGGGCACATCCCTGAGGGTAAATGAGCGTTCTATTGGCATTTACCTTCGGAAGGCAAATGGGAGGCTCGGCACGATTTTACGGGCTGACCGACATCTCGACCAGAAAACGCAGACAGGGGAAGATTCCTGTTTCCCCTCGCTCCCCCCTCGCCAGTGCCTAGAGAACATCACCTTTCACTTGGTTCATGGGACGGGATTGGAAGAGGGGAGTTGAAGGTGGAGGGGGGAGTTGAATTGTCAGCGCGCATGTGAGGGGGGAGAAGAAAGGACAGCGTGTCTGAACGGACTGCGGTGGATGTGTGCGGCGGAGGGACGTGCAGTCGGTGATGGATGGCACTTGACAGTGGTGCGAGCAATGTCTGACGCGAGAAGCTGGTGGGTGGCTGGCTGTAACTCGGGCGGGAGAGTGCAGATGTGGTTTGCTGGCATGGAGTGTGCTGTAGGGTAGACATAGATGCCTTGCGAGCTGAATGGGGGGGAAGCGGAACGATTCGCACGAAGAGGGCGTTGGGGGGGTGGGGGGGGAGGGGGCTGCGGCGGGGGGAGGATGATAGGGAGGGAAAGAGAAAAATGGGAAATGGCGGGCTGGACTGAGGGAAATTGCTGGGGTGTGTGGGGTGGGGAGGAAGACTGTGGGCGGGTCCAAATTTCTGGACTCCAACAGTCAGGAGGAACTCATGTCAGAGGTGGTGATGTTCTTGCGTTGGGATGACTTCTGTTCAAGTTGCGGCTTCACTGCTGCTTGTGTACCTGGTGTAACCTAAACGGCGTATGCGTTCACGGAATCGTTTGCTTAAATTTGTTTTTCTGGTCGTAACCAGTTTATAAGGGGTATCCACTCCTAGATGAGCACGTGCTAACCCCTACTTGGGGCTGGCAGAACACGCCTGCACGGGGGTGGGTTCGATCCCAGGACCTCATCTATCGGAAGTGCCTCTTTCTACTGACTAGGCCACTTCGGGTTCACGGGCATCGTTTGCATTGCAAGTCATTTGTCTGGGTGTCCAACATTTTTTTCCCGGGGAACACATGCCAGGGGTATTACGGGCAGTCTAGGGCGAGTTGAGGTGAGACATTGAGGAATGTCAAGAAAGGACATATACACCTAGCCCGCGCTATTTTAACGCCCTGCAACTTGTTTCGGCAAGCACCCTGAACCCGATTTTGGCTTTTACCAGTAAACTCCCCGAATTTTAAGGCTACAAACCACTCAGCCAAGTGTCGAGATATATATATAAAAAAAATGCACTCTTATCACGGCGACTCGACCATAGTTTATTGTGACCCGTTTTTCATCCCCTCTAACTCGTCAGAGATGTCTGAAACGTACCCTCTTTAAAACGAAAGCATTAGTAACAGCCCTTTAATATCGGGTAAATCAGAAATAATTACACAGGGGGGTAAAAATGGCCCTAGTGATTTTGGCGCGGGCTAGGTGTAGATGAATTGTGAAAACACCACAGCCCTTCAAAATTTTGTTCTCAACAACCTTGCGATGCGACAACTTGATTTTCGAGTGTACACAACACACCTTGTTGCTGAGTGTTTGAAGTGTTTACTATTCCCCCAACCTCCTCACTTCAGTCCGACACAAAATCTTCGGCCAATTCTCGCCTTGACCGTACTGGGGCAGTGCAAGTCAGAATGCTGTCGTCAAAGCTGCTCCGAGCCGAAGGGTCACGACCAAGGCGGTGTTCCACAACTGGCGGATTGGAAGTGTCCAACCAGACGAGCTTGTTTTATGGCCAGTGTACAATAGACACCGCATACATGCACCAAACTGCAAAAAACAGAGAAAGTTGCAACAGGCAGATGTAGCTAGTTCAATGAACCTGGTCCACCAAGGAACACAATGAGAATAATTGACATGAAAAACAAATCAGGCCCATCCATTGTCATCCAGCGTAAAACAGCATACAAAGAAACAATTTCATTTGCTTGCCTAACCCGTGCAAATCTTGCTTATCCATTCCATGAGACCCGTTCAACTACTTGGTTGCTTGAAGCCAATGTGAACTGAAAGTCCCTGTAACGCTTCACTAATTATCCAGTACAGTGATTCACATGATAGTCTCTTCGTGGAAAAAACGTCTATAGTCTCTTCTCTTCATGCTGAAGCAGATGGAACCCAAAACCGGGAGTCGAGGAGCGACGTAAGGATGGCCTTGAGTGCTTTCTGAGTGGGTATGGCGTGGAGAGAGGGCAGTAGTAAATGAAGTTACATATCATGACTCATGTGTCACAGAATTAACCTTCAAGAGAAGACGAGAGAGAGGGGCTACTAACGGCTTTGGCGTGTGTTTTAACGCAATGCAGAGATGACACATGCGATGAGATGACACATCGGATGAGACAAGATGAGATGGCACGTGGGATGAGATGGCATGTGGGATGAGATGGCATGTGGGATGAGATGGCATGTGGGATGAGATGACACGTGGGATGAGATGACACGTGGGATGAGATGACACATGGGATGAGATGACACATGGGATGAGATGACACATGGGATGAGATGACACGTGGGATGAGATGACAGGAGAGAGCAATGCAGCCCACAGATTAGTGGGACCGTGGCAACGCATGGCACCATGCTCACTTCAGCTCCAGCACTGTCTCACCTGCACCCCTTCAGCCACAACCACAGCACTGCCTCACATGAGAGTGACTCTTGAGCCCCATGCATAGCAGCAGCAGCCTCGCAGCCAGCTGTTTCTTCCCCCCTTCCCTCCTGCCTTCCCCCCTGCCTTCCCCCCTGCCTTTCCCTTCAGCCACAACCACAGCACTGCCTCACATGAGAGTGACTCTTGAGTCCCACGCGTAACAGCAGCGGACGGGTCACTCCCTGCTGACTGTGAGGGGTGCTGGGGAAGGAAGGGGTGCCTTTCCCTCCACCACTCCAGCCACAATCACAGCACTGCCGCACTGCCGCACTGCCTCACAGCCTCACTGCCTCACTGCCTCACTGTCTCCCTCACCTGTGAGTGACTCTTGAGTCCCAGGCATAGCAGCAAAGGCCGGGTCACTCCCTGTTGACTGTAAAGAGGGTGGTGGGGGGAGGGAGAAGAGGGAAGGAGTTAGGAGGAGGATTTGGAGGGAAAGGAGGAGGTCGAGTGTAGGGACAGTGTCCTTGTGCACTTGTTGCTTTTGAGTCGACTCAGCAGTCACCTCGTTACAACGGCACACGACACTTTTTTGAGAGAAAGGAAAAGGTCGAGTGTAGGGACAGTGTTCTTGTGAACTTCTGGGTGATTTTTTAGAATTCTCAAAATGCTGCAGGGTATTTTTGAGAATTCTCAAAAATACTCTGCAGAAAGGAGGAGGTCGAGTGTAGGAACAGTGTCTTTGTGCACTTCTGGAAGCTAGATGGGCTTTAAGAAGCAAAGTGAGTGAGGGAGATTATACAGAGAGTGAGCGATTGAGGAAGATTGCGCAAAGGGGGAGTGAGTGAGGGAGGGAGAAAACGCGGAGAGAGATTGAGCAGGGTCAAGAGGAGCGCTCGAGTGAAATAAACACAGACTTGGGTGTTTCTATTGAATGGAGAGCACTTGGTGGGATGAGAGGCTACAGGGGAGGGAGAGAGTATGGGTGAAAGGGTGATAGGGAAGCGATGTGAGCGTAGTGGTGAGAGTGAGGAGAGTGGTGAGAGAAGGGAGGGTGGTGAGAGGAGGATGAGAGAAAGGGAGACGGACCTGAGTGTCTCTATGAGGTGACGTGCACACGCGGCCATAAGTGGCTGCACAGGGACAGAGGGGGGAGAGGGGGAGGGATAGTGGAGGAGAGTGGGCGAAAGGAGAGTGGGCGGTTGAAAAGGGACACAGACCTGAGTGTCTCTATGAGGTGACGTGCACACGCGGCCATCAGTGACTGCAGAGGGATAGAGGAGGGAGGGAGGAGTGGGGTTCGATAGGGGAGGAGAGGGGAGTAGAGGGGAGGAAAGGGGAGGAGAGGCAAGATGAGGGGAGGAGAGGAGAGGGGGAGAGAGAGGGAACGAGAGAGAAAGATGGAGGGGAGAGGCAGAGGTTTGGGGGACAGAGAAGAGGCATGAGGAGAGGAGGCATGAGGGGAGGAGGCATGAGGGGAGGAGGCATGAGGGGAAGAGGCATGAGGGGAGGAGGCATGAGGGGAAGAGGCATGAGGGGAGGAGGCATGAGGGGAAGAGGCATGAGGGGAGGAGGCATGAGGGGAAGAGCACTGACACATTGAAAACAGAGCTCCCCTCCATTCCATCCCACCATGTGCTACCGCATCTCACCTCCCCTCACCGCATCTCACCTCGTCCCTTCTTCCCAGCAGCACTGACACGTTGAATACAGAGCTCCCTTCCATCCCTCCCAGCTGCCCTCTCCCTTCCGCCCCCCCTACTTGCTCCCGCCTATACAGGAGAACAGGCAAGGGGAGGACACAAAAAAAGGCGTGAGACAAAGGAAGAAGGAAGGCAAAGAAAAAGGGGACAAAGTAGGGTGGGAGCAGGGAAGGGGAGAACATGCGAAGGGGGGGAGACAAGGAAGTTGGGGAGCAGGGGAGGGTGAACATGCGAAGGGGGAAAAAACAAAGAGAGCAGGGGAGGGGGGGAAAATAGAAGAGGGGGGAGCAGGGGAGGGGGGAAACAGTGGGAAAATCACGAAGGGGAGGATGGAAAGTACGGGGAAAACAGGGGGAATAAGGAACAAATGAGAGGGGAAACAAACAAGGGGAAAACCAGGAATCTCTCTACCTGCATCCCATTACATCCCTCTATACCCCTCTATAACCCTCCATCCATGCTCGCTCTGCACCTACCTGGCTTACAGCATAATACCCAGCGTGCCAATCTGAGTCATCACCACTTGAAACACCTCTATATACCTCTGTATCCCTCTACATCGCTCTACACCCCTCAATGCTCCCTCTGCACCCACCTGGCATACAGCATGGTGCCAAGTATGCCGATCTGAGTCACCACAACCTCAATTACCTCCATATACCTCTACAAACTCTATATACCTCTGTATCCCTCTGCATTACTCGGCACACCCCTCCATGTTCCCTCTGCACCCACCTGGCATACAGCATGGTCCCAAGTGTGCCGATCTGAGTCACCACCACCTGTCACAGCGAAACGAGTGGGAGGAGGAATCGACAGGGAGAGCGAAGGGGGGCAGGGGCGGGAGAAGGGCCGTACGGGAGGGAGAAGAAAGGGTTTGGAGGATTTTGAAAACGAGTCGAGTTTTGAGTCGACTCAAAACTCAACAAGGCACTCGAGGAATTTAAGAACTTTCAGAATCAGCTTACAAAAAAAGAAAAAACCAAGAGAGTGGTAACACACACAGGAGAATGAGGGGGGGTGGGTGGTGTGTGTGTGGCAAGTAAGGACGAAAGCAAGAGTTGCAGATTGGAAACTTGCAGCACAGCTCGAAACTGGGAGGTGTCGATGGTGGTGGTAGCAGGCAGGCAGACAGCAGAGGTGGGGGAGGGGGGGCGTGCTGGGAGCAGACAGGCAGCGGCGGCGGCGGCATCAGCAGCAGTAGCAGCAGGAGCAGCAGGAGCAGGAGCAGCAGCAGCAGGAGCAGGAGCAGGAGCAGGAGCAGCAGGAGCAGCAGCAGCAGCAGGAGCAGCAGGAGCAGCAGGAGCAGGAGCAGGAGCAGGAGCAGCAGCAGGAGCAGCAGCAGGAGCAGGAGCAGCAGCAGCAGCAGCAGCAGCAGCAGCAGCAGCAGCAGCAGCAGCAGCAGCAGCAGCAGCAGCAGCAGCAGCAGCAGCAGCAGCAGCAGCAGCAGCAGCAGCAGCAGCAGCAGCAGCAGCAGCAGCAGCAGCAGCAGCAGCAGCAGCAGCAGCAGCAGCAGCAGCAGCAGCAGCAGCAGCAGCAGGAGCAGGGGCAGCAGCAGCAGCAGCAGCAGCAGCAGCAGCAGCAGCAGCAGCAGCAGCAGCAGCAGCAGCAGCAGCAGCAGCAGCAGCAGCAGCAGCAGCAGCAGCAGCAGCAGCAGCAGCAGCAGCAGCAGCAGCAGCAGCAGCAGCAGCAGCAGCAGCAGCAGCAGCAGCAGCAGCAGCAGCAGCAGAAGCAGGAGAAGGAGCAGGGCGAGGGGCAGAGGCAGCACCATTAGACGGTCGTCGTATGAGAGGCAGAGGAATTGGGTTGCCATGCCCTGATGGGGAGGGGAGGGGTGGGGTATCAAGGGAGGGGGAAGCGGAGTGGGGATTGGTTTGAGTCGACTCATAAAAAGCAATGTGCTTGCCGCCCTGATGGCCGTGGTGGGGAGCGGGGGACGATTGGGGGATGGTTGTTGGATGGTTGGGGGATGGTAGAGATTTTGGGGTGCTGGTAATAGGGGAGTCTCGTTGTGTTAGTAGGGGGAGAAAGAATGGGGGAGATGGCGGGGGGATGGGGAAGTGAGGGGGGAGCGCACTTGGAGCATGTGGTTTGCACTGTGTGCATGCTGTTGCAAGGGCTGGGTGCTAGTGCGATCGCCCACACTTGCACTATTGCGTGAGCGACCGGACTAGCACCCAACACAATCGTGCCCATCGCCATGCACGGACACATAGAGATGGGTATATGGATGCACATGGGCACATGGGCATATGGATGCACGCTCGTGCGAGCGACTGGGATGGGGGGGGGGGGGGGGGGGGTATTAGGAGAGTGTGGTAGTATTAGTGGGGGGAGAAAGGATGTGGTTGCAAGTGCTGAGTGCTAGTGCAATCGCCCACACTTGCACGGGCATATGGTCGCACGCTCGTGCGAGCGAGTGGGATGGTGGGAGGGGGGGGAGTGGGGGGAGGGTTGGTATTAGGAGAGTGTGGTAGTATTAGTGGGGGGAGGTGGGGGGAGAAAGGATGTGTGGGAAGACATGGCATTTGGGCATGCTGTGGTAACAGGGGATGGGGAAGTGAAAGGGAGGCCGAGCTTGGAACCTTTGGGCATGCTGCTGCAAGTGCTGGGTTGCTCGTGCGATCCCCCCCAAGGAGGAATCTAGACACGTGCGCGCGCCCATGTGCCCCTACGTGCCCCCATATGCAACCATGTGCGCCGGTGTGTGCAACATCATGTGCACCCATGTGCCCCCGATGTAAGCCTGGTGTTGCAAGTGTTCGTGGTGTTTCGAGTGTATGCACCTATGTGAGCCTACGCTCGCGGGTGCACACGTCTGCGCTCAACTGCGCTCAACTGCGCTCATCTGCGCTCATCTGCGCTCATCTGCGCTCATCTGCGCTCATCTGCGCTCATCTGCGCTCATCTGCGCTCATCTGCGCTCATCTGCGCTCATCTGCGCTCATCTGCGCTCATCTGCGCTCATCTGCGCTCATCTGCGCTCATCTGCGCTCATCTGCGCTCATCTGCGCTCATCTGCGCTCATCTGCGCTCATCTGCGCTCATCTGCGCTCATCTGCGCTCATCTGCGCTCATCTGCGCTCATCTGCGCTCATCTGCGCTCATCTGCGCTCATCTGCGCTCATCTGCGCTCATCTGCGCTCATCTGCGCTCATCTGCGCTCATATGCTCTCATCTGCGCTCATCTGCGCTCATCTGCGCTCATCTGCGCTCATATGCGCTCATCTGCGCTCATCTGCGCTCATCTGCGCTCATCTGCGCTCATCTGCGCTCATCTGCGCTCATCTGCGCTCATCTGCGCTCATCTGCGCTCATCTGCGCTCATCTGCGCTCATCTGCGCTCATCTGCGCTCATCTGCGCTCGTCTGCGCTCGTCTGCGCGCACCTCGATATCCGCGCTGAACTGCTTCGACCGCACAGGAAACTTCGCCCCGCTTTCGCTGCCGCCACTCCCTCCCCCGCCTGCTGCCCCTCCGCCCTCCCCCGTCTCCCCCATGCCCGCACAGATCCCCCCCCCTCCTCCCCGCGTTCCGCCTCTCCCCGAGATCCCCCGTGCGGTTGTCAGTATCAATTCCTTCTCTCTGCCTATCAGCGAACGCCTTTCGAGGAACCCAAACAGTCGAATCCCCTTACACCTCCCCACTATATCTTCGCGTCAATAAGAATTTATTACTTTTCCGATGTCACTCAGGGGCAGATGAAGCGGTGCTGTTCAGGAGCACAGACTGACGTCAGCACTAGGACGCGTGGTTGACGAACGCGAACGCGGACGATCCTACTAGGGCGCGAAGCTGAGGGGAGGAACGTTACGAATGGCTTTCGAGTAGAAGTCACGTGGTTTACGAACGCGAACGCGGACGGTTGTTCTTGAACGCGAAGCTGAGGTGAGGTAAGGGCCGTCACGAATGGGCTGCGTGTGTGTTGGGTCGCGAAAGAGCGCTACCCTCCACTAGGAGCGCTATGCTAGGGCGCACCGTGTTGGGTTCGCTCGCTGCTATGGTGCGACGCGAGATTGTTTTGTAGATTGCGATAGAATGCGCTATCGCGATTCGCGATGGAATGGGGAGGGAGACTACTGCTCGCTACTGGGTCGGGAAGGATGCCATTGGGTGGTAATGCACCTAAGATCCTATTCACTGAACATGAAAGGTCGGAGTGGCGTGTGCCGAAGTTTTTTTGAACATTGGGGTGCAATTTACGGCTTATTGAGCAGGCAAATGTGCAATTGACGAATTTTGCGAAATGATTCACACGAAAGTCGGCTAAAAGTCTGGGAACGAGAGCTTGGTTTGTCCAGTGAATTGGCTGGACGAAATGATCTCGCGACTACAAAGGACGGGTTCCGGTAACCGGAAAGAACATCAGCTTTTGGAAATTCCATCGAGCACGCTCTGCAACGCAGTTTCTCCGTGGGGCTTCACCGTGTAAGAAACCCTAAATTCCATAACTCGATATTGTCAAGCATATCTCTCTGTTCCCTATGACTAGCTATCGGCACAGCAAGCAAAAAAACCAACTTAGCTATTACTTTGGTGCCAACTCAGTGAGTTTTTTCTTATTAGCGGGTACCGTCCTCTGCTGCGGGAGGTGATTTTTCCCCAAGATGGGCAAAGGGTAATAACTTAATTAGCCCCAGGGCTATATACATATACATATATTTATAACTCATCGAATAAATCAGAAGAGTCTCGTTGCACTTTTTCTTCTAGTCAGAATCTGATCTGAGATGCCTTGTACTGACCTAGATATTGGTTTCCAGAAGCCCAGCAGAGGATTCAGCGGAGCAAACAGCAGCCCAGCGCTCTCAACATCCCACTGATGTATCTCTTACCCAGCAGCAGCAACAGCAGCAGCCTAGCACCCCACTGGCCTCTCTCTTACCCAGCAACAGCAGCTGCTGCTTCTCCTCCCACCAGAGCCTCGTTGCGCTTCCTCTGAGCCGCCACCTGCCTGCTCCCCTCGGCCAGATCCACCCCCAGCGACCCACAAATGTTGGCTCAGAATGCCATCTAGTGCACTCCAGAGGCCTATCCCTCCCCCAGCGACCCGCACATGTTGGCTCAGAATGCCGTCTAGTGCACTCCAGAGGCCTATCCCTCCCCCAGCAGCAGTAGCAGCCGCTGCTTCTCCCCCATCAGGGCCTCATGCCGCTCCCTCTGCGCTGCCACCTGCCTGCTTGCCTCGGCCAGATCCGCTCGTAGCAACTTGCCAAGTGATGTCAGCTCACGTGTCTGGGGGTGATGGTTGCAACATTGGGAAGAGGGGAATGCAGGGAGTGTTACTGACGTGCCTCAACTATCACACCTGCCTGCTCGCCTCGGCCAGATCCGCTCGTAGCAACTTGCCAAGCGCTGTCAGCTCACGCGTCTGGGGTTGATGGTTGCAACGTTGGGAAGAGGGGAATACGGAAGAGTGTTACTGACGTGCCTCAACTATCACACTTGCAAAGTGCTGTCAGTTCACGCGCCTGGGGTAATTGACAGGCACATGCATCTGAGGTAATTAACATGTGGATGAGAGGGGAATGGGTAAGGGGGTGTGGGGAAAGGTTGAGAATGGCGAGGATCAGGGATATCTAGCAGTGATGTGTGTCATGTGCCATGTGCCATGTGCCGTGTGCCGATGTGCGACAAACATAGCATCCTTTTTCCCTACAGTGTACGTGAGGAAAAAAAAAGGGATTAAAAGGAAAGGGTGTTGGCAAAATAAATAAAACCCAAGAGGGTGCCGCACCTCTCATTCCAGCCTCTGCAGGTGCTGCTGCTGCCAAATGCAGTGCCTAAAAAGGGCCTCCAAAAAAGATGATGCTAGTGGGTGCCATACCTCGCATTCCAGCTTCTGCAGGTGCTGCTGCTGTCGAATGCGATTGCGCTTGGCTGATGCTCTGTTGGCCGCCCGCCTGCACGCCGTGACACCAAGCAGGGGATGGGGTGGGGAGAGGCAGTGGGACAGCATGAGAGCGAGCATGCAGATGGGGGTCATTGTGACAGCATAACCATGGGGATGGGGACATGACATGGGGACTCGAGGACATGGGGACATCGGGACATGGGAACATGGGGACACAAGGACAGGGGGACACAGGGACAGGGGGACATGGGGACACGGGGACACGGGGACATGGGGACATGGGGATGCGGATGTGCTTGGCTGATGCTCTGTTGGCAGCCCGCTTGCACACACAGAGGAGGGGAGCAGAGCAGCAGGCTGAGTGGACGGCAGCAGCAGCAGCAGGCTGAGTGGACGGCAGCAGCAGCAGCAGCAGCAGAGCAGCAGCAGGCTCAGTGGACTTACCGTCTGGATTTCTGCATGGCGGCAACAACAGCTGGCACCGCTCCTCCACTCTCCCGCTTCCAGTACCCGTACCACTCATTTGCTCTGCTGCTTGCGTACACGTCAGCAGCCACGTCAGCAGCCACGTCAGCAGCCACGTCAGCACCCATGTCAGCACCCATGTCAGCATCCACGTCAGCATCCAGGTCAACAACCTCTTTCTTGACAGCAATGGTATCATGAGGAGCGGCAATCGAATCAAATGGCCACTGCTCCTCTGAGTCGGCTACACCCGAGGGAAGCCCCATGCGGTCGAGTCGGGGGGGCGTGCTTGGGGAGCCAGAGGTGAGCACAGTGGACTCATAAGGAGAAAATGAACCTCTGCTGTTGCACTCCCCCTTGCAATCCCGCTTATAATCTTCCTTGCAGTCTCCATATACGCCTGTGTCGTAACCAGTGCTGCACATATGGTCGCAATCATCGCTGCACGTGCTGCCGTCGCTGCCAGGAAGGGGGAGCACCAGAGCTGGTAACCCCGTTACCACAAAGCGGCTGGGAGAAGCAGGCTCCATGGGGATGGGGAGGAACACGGATGCTGACGTGGCACAGGCAGCAGCAGCGGCAGCGCTTGTGCGTTCGGCACAGGCGGAGAGAGAATCAGAGCCGAAGGAGTTGGAATCAGGGGCAATGCGAGCACAGTCATGGAAGACAGCAGGTGGATCTGGTGAAGGCTGCAACTCCACAGCCACGGAAGGCGCATTGGTAGGCAATGCAGCTGCGATATCGCAAACGTCTACTATCTTGTCATAGTTGTTTCTTTCGTCACTGTCGTGGGTCAATAGCCCCTCAATCTGACCCTCCATGCCAATCCCATCGAAACACGTCCTCTCGGCTGCCTTCTCTTCAGTCCCCTCCACTCCAAACGGCCCATTACCCAGCTCCAGGCCAGAATATCCCTTCATGCCATCCTCGTTATTGGCATCCCCATTCTCCGTGCTCGTTTCTGCTTCACCTTGGCTGCTTCCGTACCCGCTCAGACGACTGGCGCTGACGTCACCCATCAGCTCGCTGGCGTCAGCACCTGCTGTTAGGTGGGCGTCGGCATCATCCAGGTCCAAAAGAGACACCAGGTCATTCCACGACAGCTCTTTTTCCTTGAGTGTAATTGGGATTTTGCAGGGGTAAGTACCCTGCATGGTGTCCACATTCTCGTCGCTCTTCCGACATGCTGCAGTTGGAGTTGCGGCTGATACATTATGCGGAGCATCGAACGCGGAAGTCGGCGCAGGCGCAGCAGAAGATTCTGGCGCAGATGCAACTTCGGGAACAGATTTTGGCGAAAGCATGGGGGCTGGCGAGGCTTGGACTTGATTTTGCAAGATTCGAGTTGACGAAACATTTGCGAGAGACAGCTGCATTGCAAAAAGTGGAACCGAGGAAACGCGAGAAACAACTGGCAAGAACCGACCGTCCGAAATCTGATGCGGTAACGCCGCAACCGGTTTAAAGAAACCCGCATTGTCGTTAGCTGAAGGCGACCCAGCAGCGATGAGCGGGAAGTCTTCTTCTGGCTCTGCTTCGGGAACTTTAGGGTTTGTCGAGTAAGTCGCCGTTTCCGCAGGAGCGCCGCGCGTCTCGTTCCCCTCCTTGTGATGCCATGTGTCCACTTGATTAACTTCGGCGTCCGTTCTGAAAGTTTGGATGCGTGGTAATGGCGCGTCGGCGGGAGTTCGTACGAAGATGATGGGGTGCGAAATGTCCTCACGGCGAGGGAAATTGGCGTGAAGGCCTGGGGGCGAAACGGTCGCGAAATTTGGAGCAACGCTAAGAGTTGTAGTCTTGAAATTCGACGGTCTTCCCTTACTAGCCTCGGGTTCTCGTTGCGGCGCCGCGGCGTCGCCGATTGTCACGCGGCGCCCGTCCTGAAATGCCGTCATATGTTGCGACGTCATGTACGGAGAGGATGTCGTCGCGTGCGGCCCGCACGTCACTGCGTGCTTTTGCCGCTTGATATTCTGAAGCAATCCGAAGATCGTCGTCGGACATTCCGTAGCGCGCCGCGTCGCCACCGCCATAGCACATCGCGACGTCGCCGACGTCTCGATTCTCTGCGCCGCTGCCGGCCATTCCGCCAAAGCCTTGTATTGGAGCAAACGGCCTTGAGTCGCAGCGGCGGAAGCGGAGAGGGACGACTCAGACGACCTCGGGCTAGCAACCGTTCGCCTCAGATGACATTTAATTCGTCCAAACTCCTCGAATGTTCTCTCCACTGCCAGTGAAGACGATTCCTGGAGCACATTCTGTCGCAGAGCGCTGTCGATACCTCGTCGCTTCGACTCCTGCGATTCCCAATCCGTCGTTCCGCTCCGATTTGACCAGCTCGTCAGCGCCGCCGGCGGTGGAGTTTCCAACGCGTGGACGCAGCCGTTATGACGGCTATTAAGTCCATGCTGGGCTGTAACTTGACGCGTAGTCGTGATGCTCGTATAAGGAGGGTAGTACATCCCAAAAATTCAACTGCCGAAATTGGCTCGAAATCGTGGGATACCTCAACGCATCGCACGCGAGGTTACCCTCAAGAACCCAACAGGAAACATGAGGGCAACAACGATATCAAGCGAAATTCACGAGAATGTCGTTTACTATCGAGAAAACAAATTGACCAATCAGGATGCAGGAGAGTTTCGAGGTTACCTCAAGGAAACCCCACTGCCTCGGAACGAGGCTAGTCCACTGGCTTGGTCGCACTGTTTCGGAAACCGAAGCTGACCCGCAGCAGGTTTCGATAATAGTGTAAGTTCTAGCAGCACTGCTGAATGATGAGATTGGTTAACGCGCCTCACCATATCGCTGATAAGTTTCGCTGAGAAGCAGGCAGAATAACTGTCACCAATCAAATCCTTCCACGTCACTTCTGCACCGCAGATCCTTTTGGTGATGCGTCGAAGTGTATTTCAGTGGTTCTAACAGTTGCTCTGATTCAGTTGTTGAATCATCCATCTCACGCTTTTTCCAACTCGCCATGGCGTCATAGCTCCGCGATCGTCGCTACTTGGAGCTTAGTTGTCAGAAAGCTGTCCGTGCACGCTCTATGACTAGGATCCTTTAAATTTCCAGTATTTTACCATGGACTTCATAGGGTTTCCGGTATTGCCGAAGTCGAATAACGAGTAATTTCTATATTCTCTGATGATTGTTTCTTTATGGCAGATTACCGATGGCGGAAGCGATGCCAGGGTTTGTGCCGCCATCACGTACTGCCGTAGATCTCGTTGTCGCGGCGAGGCTCTTAGTAGCGGTCGTGAGGTAAGCGATATGACCGTGATGTGATAATTTATGATTTATGTCCCCTGGAGTTTCTGGATGAGCGCCGCTCGTTCTGTTTGGCATCATGTCGTCATCCTGTTTCGCAGGTTGAAGCCACATTTCTCTTTGTCAGCCACCCAGTTTGCTCTTGCTTTCTTATTGTCATTGTATGTTTCACTGCAATCCGATGCCCTTGCGTCTTAATTTGCGCCTTGATTTTGCAGGCGCTAGTTCACCGAGCCTCCTAGCTGCCAGATTCTCTTCGCCTGGTAAGCACGTTCGCCACTCGGTAATAGACAGCTGTAATTTCGCACTAGTGTTTCCCAGTCCGTCTGGGTCTTGACATGTTCCCATTCTGTGTTGTGTTCACTACTCAGGTGTGACGGGAACTATGAATCAACGACCTGATTCTGAAGAAGTGTTATTTTCAAAGATATTTGCATCTCTATTTGATCTGAAACTTACTCTGTGCAGTCATAGTTTGTCTTTTGCACACTTGCACGGTGGTGTAAGTCCTAACATTGTGTTTTGAATGTATTCATCATTGTTATGAATCGTGTACGGGCATCTTTATATGGCGCACTCTTTATTTGGTATATTTAGCATATACAGGAAATGAGTCTTAGACGATGGAAACAGGCTTTATGAAATAGCATCAATACTATCAGCGATTAAAATGAGTCAAAATGACCCTAATTACATTATTATATGACAACGAGAAATAATTTAGTGTACTGTATGATTTGCTGGTCGCGAACAGTCTCACAGCGCGTACCAAGGTCGCGCATGATTCGTTCCAGGAATCTGGGAGAGGTTTCCTTGCAGTAGCTTCGCGGTTTCCCGCAGGTCACCTCATGTGGGTAACCTCGGGGTCACCACGAACTTTGAGGTAACCTCGCGGAATCCTATACTGAATCCTTTGGGTTACCTACAGCGGGGTAACCTGGAGGAAACCTTGGGGTAGGTTTTTGCCGGTTCAATTTTTGGGATGTAGTAGCAGCTACGCGGTTTGCGCGGCTGAGAGCCCTCCGGAGGGTCGTCGGCGGCGGACGGGAAATGAGGCTGCGGTTTGTTCCGCGCGCGCCCGCGTCGCGAGCCGCACTCTGCGCTTGAAGGTGTCGTTGATATGTAGATATCCATTGGTAGGTGTTTTGCGCTTTCTGAGGGCAATGCGCTGATGGAAAAATCGATAGTAGCTTTAAATCGCCAGTGCACGCCGGACGTTCTGGCTGTTCAGGTGAGACGTGAGAGGGTGTTTGTGATTGCTATTGGAATATTAGTTTCTCAAGCTGCTACTACCACGTTTGATCCAAAGGGAAAGTCTGGATGTCGAATGAAGAACGTCTCTTTGTGGGAGAGAGGGGCGAAGAAGGTAGCAATATAGAGGACGCGGGGGGTGTGTGCGACACGGAAACAAGAGAATATGGTATTGTCGTGTCGTGACGTGCGGTGCCATCGCGGAAAAGGTATTGCGAAAATGAGTCGAAAAAACTGCAGAAAAGTTACTTTCTGGATACCCGGCCCCGATGTTTTCCAGTGAAGGTCAAAACCATCGGAATTCCCGCAAGGGTGCACGTTGCGTAAAAGTGACCCCTTCGCCACATTTCGGACACATTTCAGGAACCTCCCAGCAACCGCGATCTTGCCAGAAAGTTGCGATAAAGTTGCCCGTCACACGTGTCACATGACACCGTACACCAAAGTGCTTGTGCATCATACCGTACGTACCCCCTTGCCACGCGGCCTTCATCGAGGCGGCTTCACGCAACGATCCCCGCCGTACACATGTGAGCACCCCGTTGGTCTAACGAGTGAATACACCCACTCTCGTCGCCCACTTACCAAACTGCGCGTGCATTTCGCCCACCAATCTGCATGCAGAGGACCCACCTCCCCACCCACAAACGCGCCGCCACCTTCCCACCCAACGACCTCTCGTTATCCCACACCTGTGCGTACTGCTCGCACACCCATCCAACGCTCTCGCGACATCTGTCTACGTCCGCTTTGCGCACACCACTCCACGCGGCGCAAATCCACACCGCGAACACCCCGCATCTCGACCGTACACCTGTGGGACCGTGAGTGGCCCCGCACCATGTAACTACACACTTCGTCAGCCACTAAAACGTAGCGCGGGCCCGCCTCGCCCGTCCTACGGCAAACCTTCGCCAAATCTGACGTCCCAACGCATGCTCGCCACCTCAGCCGGTGTTACCAGGGCGTGCACCAACACCTGACGATAAAGTGAACCAAGCTTCCGCCCGCTGCATACGCGGGACGTGTCTCCACTGTCCGCCCACCATTTACACCTGGTGGATTTAGACACGTGGTCCCAAGCTTTACTACTTCCCCCTATTGGTGCGACTGGCCACGCCATTGACGCGTGAGATGCGGCCAACCACTGCAAACATATCCGACGTCAGATGTGCGGAAAACGTCCACCACATCCCTCAACAGCACCTATTCAATGTGCGTGCCACGAATGGTCTACGTTCGACGCGGCCCGAAGCGCGCCCTCAGTAATGTGCGCAGCTCGTGAAACCGGAACCACGTATCCGTACCTATTAGACACCGCAATGCTGTTATTAAGATACCAAATACGGCGTAACCATACAACGTGGTGTGTTTACATTCCCTAAGTGTTCGCGTGAGTTTGCACCGTATTTCAAAAACGCACAACCCATCCGTAATAAACCTACAGCAAAGCGACACAAAAGAAACACACACATAGCTAGGACCCACAACAAACACAAATATCCCGCCTACAGCAACAAATGCACGACAAACCCCAGCTGGGAAAACATGCCTTCAACCCCCACCATTTACGGGCCTCCAAGCGACCCAGAGATCTCGTCCGCCTGAACCTCTGCCCCATCACGGGTAGCGGCAGTCGCTGGAATTAAGTCCTCCAGCCCGCACGAGGACAGTCGAAGGCCATGGCGCCCCCAGGTCCACGAGCACGAGGCGACGTCGTACTTAGGCTTGAAGATTCTGATCGCGTTCGACACTGCCTCACGCGCAAGGATCACGAGCCCATCGACCACCTGCGCGTTTCCACAGGCAGAGTTCGACAGTCGCCCCTTCCTCGCCTCCCAGTTCACCAGCGTGTCGGTCACCTGCGACACGCAAACAGCCCCTTAGCCACCGGGGGAGGACGGGTGACCACATAGCACAAACAAACACCAAGCACGTACCACATGCTCCAGCCACGCCAGGTGGTAAAGCTTCACCGTCAGTGGCCCGACCACCTTCTTCGGCTTGAATGCCGCAACCGCGCATGCCACGAATGCGCCAGAGGCGAACGGCATCCCCTCCCGATCGTTCCCAAACTTGGACAATGCCAGGGGATCTGCGCACAAATGCACGCCCACGTAAGTCCGCGATCCACGCATCCCGCATACATCCCCTCTCCAACCACGTGACCGCCGACTTACCGTCAACGCCGAGCAGCAGCCCATAATGCGATCGTATCTCCTCCAGAGTACGGTCCTTCTTCGTGGCCCATGGGCTGCGCGTATCTCGCTCGTCACAAAAAAGCCCCATCCGTGGACACGAGATGTCCCGCGTCCTTCCTGCTGCGCCCGACTTCCACTCGCTAAGGGCCTTGTTCAAATCCGACCGTCTTGCCTTGTCCGCAGCCAGAGCAAGTGTCGCGAAATCGAAAGGCAGGCGCTCGATCACTGCACACACTCCCACCGTCTTGTCGTCGCTGCTCGGATAGAACGTGATCCGGGCGTTCTCCTTCTCAAAGAAGAGGTAATCTTTCACCAGGTCGCACGCGCGCTGCAACCACATCAAAACCACCCAGCACACACATCCGCCCTCAAAACTCCGAGAAGCACGTAGTAAGGGGTGCAAAGGCAGTTAACACATGGTGGAGGCACCTATGTTCGTCACAACGCACCTTCCACGACTTGTTTGCGGGCAGAAAATTCAGCGCCCGCTGCAGGACCGGTGACTTGGACACCCTCAGATGCCCCCTCTTGGTGGGTGGCTCATCCTCGCTCTCCTCGTCGGATGTCTCCTCATCGGCGAGTTCTTCCCGACGCTTCCGCTTCCGACCAGAAGCACCACCGCTCCCCGAGACATGCTCGTCCGGCCTGCGAGGGGGTGCACGCGCCTGCACAGCCTTAGCAGACCTCAGCTCCTCTTCAAGACGGGCCACGGTGCGCGCGCTCGCTTCTTGCGCCTTCTTCAAGGCCTCGAACTCCGCGCGACTAATCAGAATGTGTGTCTCCTCCCCGGGCGCTGTCGGGTCACGAGACGACCCAGCTACAGGCATGGCCACAAAAGGGTTGTCCGGCACACGCACGGGCGGAGGACGGGGCCTGGTGGTGGCAGTCGCCTGTGACTCTGCCATCACAGAGGCCAAGTTCTTCGACCGGGAGGGCGCCGGGCGTGCCTCGCTCTCACTCTCGATGTCCTCATCGCCCGCACCGACGCTTATCTCCACCTCTGCCTGAGGTGCCTCCGCCACTGAAGTCTCTGGCGCAGCGGACGGCCATGCTCGCAGTTGTCGCTTGAACAACTATTACCATTCAGAGGAACCCCCTTCGCCTTCGTCACCCTGGCGCGCTTGGCTGGCACTGCAACCGATCGCTCCGCTTTCCTCCCGCGCTGTCGCTTCTGAGTCAGCTGGTATGCGTTGCGGAGGTACGACGGAGGCTTGGACACCCTCTGTGACCTGGAAGCAGGCTGGGGCTCGATCGACGCGTCCGAGGTCTCCATGTTTGAACTCCCGTGAACTCCTCCCGCCGAATGGTCCAACATGCTCTCAAACCCAAAGGTATACACCAGCGGTTGGTGTTCGCTTAGTGTAGCCCGAATTTTGCTTGTTTGCCCCAGTCAGCATAACCAGATTACGCACCAGTAAGATTGTGCCAACTCAACCTAGCCGAATCCGGGGTGGTACCAACGAGTGGTCATGTAGAATACACTGAGCCGATCACGTACACCAGTGCGGTGTCAATATTGTATCCGCTAACGGCAATCCGCATCGTTATCATAGTACCGCAAACTAAAACATCAACACAACAATAACAAATAATGGTGACCGAGCATGGCGTCGGGAAATCCCATCAAGGAAACAATATGGTACAATCGAAACCAACGCATGGTACATTCAGGTGCATGCAGCTAACCACACACTCCCAACCTCATCCATCACAAGCCCAGGCTAGCCGGGTCAAACTCTCCAAATTGGGTCCCTACCAGATCGTCCTCCCCTGGTACTCCTTCCTCCCCTGGAACTCCATTCTGTGCATCACTCTCAAGACCATAACCTCCAACAGCAGCAGTATGTTTGACAGGTTCAGTATCCGCCTGCCCATCGTCCGTGCCGACATCAGCGTCCTGCCCCCCCTCCTCCTCCACCTCGTCCCCACCCCTCCCTCTGCAGACCCGGTTGGGGTCTCGGTCTCAGGAATATCCATGTTACCATGGCAGTCCAGCACCGCCTGCTCCCACTCTCTCCAGCGGAACCACATCCGGCTCTTGACCAGGAGCTTGATGACCTTTTTGGAGCATCCTGCCAGAAGGCTCTGTTCCGTTGGTGTCAACTGGATCGTGCGTGGAATGACGACGCCAGGCCTTAACACATGAGCAGCTGCGGCGTAAGCGTAAGCTGCCTCTGGCTCCTGTGTGTATGACCCCAACCGCATCTGCGTCCGCCTGGCCTTACCAGGCTACCTCACCAATATCTTCGCGCTCCATGTCCCCCTCTTCTTCTCTCGCCGCACCCCGGTGTACTGTGAGGACCCACCACTTCCCCCCCCACCACCAGCGGCTGTTGTACTTTCCGCTGCCAAGCTTCCGCCATCGACACGTGGTCGCTTCTCCCCCCTTTTCGCAGCAGGCATGTCTAGCAGGACCTCTGTCGTCGCACGTACACCCGGGCCGACTTCACCGTTCCCGTTGGTAGGGGTCTTCGGGCCACCAGGACTGTCATGGGCCGGAGACGCACGCGATAAGGGAGGAAGGGGCCGGGGGTGCTGATGGATTACGCCCAATTCCGTGTGTGCCACAAACCCACCCTTCGCACACGATTGCGCGCCACAGGGTTCGGCGGGGAGGGGGCCACCGGTCCGCTCAGTAGGCAGGTGAGGCGGCGTAGAGGGTGATCCCCCGGGTTCAATGCTCCGATAAGCCCCTCCGTCCGTCTTCACCACGTACGCGGCAGCTGCGAGCATCTGATCTCTGCTGTACCCCATGGCGTTCCCGAGCGCGGTCACTGCCGCGCCCCAGATGACAAGTTCCCTCCGTAGTCCGTACACCTCGACCTGGTACTGAGCGAGACGGCTCCTCATGTCCACCTCGTCCGACGCCCTCACAGCGCCGATTTCCGATGTCCGAGTTGCATACTGCGGTGGAACGATCTTCCCCCGTGTGGTCAGCGCTGGTACGAGCTCACAAGCTGCATGCGCGCTCAGATCCGCACGCATGCGCCGGCGGTACTGGCCACCGCTCACGCCGTCCAAATACAGATACTTCAGCACCGTTAAGAAGTCTGACTCTACGAGTCCGCGCAAGTAGTGGCACAAGAATACGCCACAGTCAACCAGATTGTCCTGCCTGATGAGCTGGTGCGCCTGCATGGAAGAGTGGGCATGTGTGTCAGTGCATGGGCTTTCGCGTATGGGAATTCCATACCAAGCTTTTAATGGCCCGACCACACGGCTCATACCTGCATCACCACACAGTCCGCGCTCGAAAGCGTGGAAACAAGTCGCTCGTGGTCGCACTCTGGGTGCAACTGCTTGGTCGTGATATCCAGCAGCCTGAGCATGCGCACCAGTACAACACGGAGATTGTTCATCCGCAGAGCACAAGCATTCATGATTCAGTTCACAAGGACAACCATACTCACAGCTTCGCGCCATCAAAGACGGTAGGATCCCCGGCATGTGTGCCCTCGCTGTCGAACAGGACCATCTGCAGCTTGTCCCCATCACCCTCCCCGTCCTTGCGGAACAACTTCGCCGGCTCGCACACGATGATGAGCGAGTAGTGGTTTCTGTCGATGGAGTTGTGGAACAGCACGGACACTAGGTCGGGTAATTGACATAGACGACATAGCAAATTAGACGTAGCATCCTATACACCCTGCAGCTCACCCCTTGAAAACCGGTATGGCCAGAAAGTCGACGACGAGCAGACTTTCCCCCTTGCCGTGCTGGAACGGCTTGTTGTAACCCGTGGCGTACTGATACGCCATGCTGTCCATAACCGCCCATGTCTTGCCATTAGGGGTCCGTGGATGTTTGATGCTCAACAATCTGCACATGGGGGGTCCGGACGCCCAGGTTAGTTGACGTATTTGACGGCGACGTGATTCACCAGCGATCTCAAGACTCACATGTTGTGAAAGTCGATTATCGCATCGGTGAGGCACTGACCATCTGCGATGGTCACAAGATCTCTGGCGGTGACGACGCACGACTGTCCGGCGCGGTTGTTCAAAGACATGGATGTGAAAGAGACATCCTTACTCTTTCTGGCGACGCGGGCAACGACATCATCTGGTTCGGGGTCCACCGTATTCACTTTAACTTTCGTCTTGTACTTGGGCAGGTCGAGCTTCTTAGCGGCGCTTGCGGATTCTTGATTCGCAGATCCTTGCTGCGTGCGGGTACTACTTCGAGTGGCCCTTGTGACGGCGTTTGCGTGCGGTGCGCGCGCAGAGGCCGCCACCTCCGTGACGTCTCCATTGTCCGTGCCGCTACGTGGTTTTTTAACACCTACCTTGTCTCGCGCCATACCTTCGCGACCAGGCTGCGTCATTGGAGGGCGTTACATAAGCCTGGACACCATGGGATGGAGTGTGACAAGAACTAACACAGAGCAAGACAGGTGCCCAGACTTGGCTTTCTATGCGGAATGGAACGTCATATCGCATGGGAATATCGAGCCCGAGCAGGATGGGCGAAGCTACAAGATCTGCATGCAGCTGCGCGGGAAATCGCCAGGACGTGACATGTGTCAACGTCGGCCCGCGTTTTGCTGGCAAGAAAAATCTCGTGGCCGAGCTGTGCTGTTTTGGGCTCCAACGTGTAAACGTCATCTCTGGCGAAATCCGTTTGCTTTAAACAGGTGCACGAGTGTACTGGCACGCGGTACAAAGTCATACGTATTCTCCTTGATAGCAACATCATGTTCACGACACCAGGGTGAGGTTGAGCCAGTGACTGTGACTGGGGTGGATACCAACCCCAGTGTCCACTGCTTCATGCGTTAGTGCATTGACTTTTTAGGGCTCCATGTGACGGATATGGCGGCCTGCCGCTGCAGGGGGTGTCCGCGTGTCCTTCGCGATGACTGTGCGCTTCAGTCGCACCTTGCAAAGAGCGCAGAGTGCAGACGCAACATCCTCGGCAAGCGTGACGCCCGATTAGCTCAGGCCTATCTGGAGGCCTACGCGGCTGTTTCCGCCCGTACCGCAGGTCGCCCCAACGAGACGTCTAGCCCGAACTCGCTAGCTAACGATGCAGTGGCGGCCGCTGACGAGGTGGCGGAAGCGACAGCAGGTGATGAAGGGACGGTAGACGACGAGCAGCAGTCCACCTGTAGTGATCAAAGCGAGGACGGCATTGTCTTTGACACGCTCACTGCTATATACCTGTTCATCCGCGATGCCGACCTTTCGCGGCGCGAAGTAAACCGCTTGCTGCACATCTTTCGCAACCCTCGCTTCAATCTCCGCGCTCTCCGCCGCTGGCGAAATGCTCTGGATGTGCGACGATGGGCTAACGCGAGAGCGCCCACGGACCTGGTTCCGTGGCTTGTGGAGGAGATCATTGTCCGCGGGACCAAAGGAGAGGTCCAGAAGTTGCTCTTGCATTATCGCGACACGGAGCAGGTAAGGTTATGCCCGAGTTTCCAAATATATTACGTCTACATTCGATGCACAACATGACGCCGCAACTCGTAACGTCGAACGCAATGCCATGCAGTTGGTGAAGAAGTTGGTGCGAACTTTCGTCGCTGTACCAGGCTTCGTTACCAAGGCGAGGACGGAGCTGGACCCTACGACAGGCAAACGGAGGTTCAGCGACCCCGAGACTGGGAAGTGGATGCAGGAAGCAGAGGTAAGCTGTGTGGTCGGCTGACATTGTGGGGCTTGGCGTCCCATTATCGCTGAGTGATGCTGAGACCAATACCTGGCCGTCCTTGTTTGAGCGCAGAAAGCGATACAAGACGAGAAAGCATGGGTGTTGGGCGTCATTGTGTATAGCGATGGCACGAACGCAACAAGGAACGGCAGGCGGCAGGCTTGGCCAGTGCTCATAACACTGTTCAACATTCCTGAGCACCTGCGATGGACGGAGCCTGGTCACGTGTTGGCGGCCGTGCTGCCTTTTCCTCCCGTGTGGGCTACCTCTACAGAAAAGGCCCGGGTCTTCCAAGAGGCGATACGCATCATATTGGCACCGCTCATGCGGGAGTCGGCAAAGTGAGTCCATAATGTGTTCGTGGGTAGACCGTGCACAGACGTGGGCGACGGGTCAGTTTGTTTACTGCTGGTCAGTGATGCTCGTTGTGTGTCAGTGCACCGTGCAGTCCCAGATTCGATGCCCGTGCTTGCTGATGATCTTACAACTCTGCGTGCAACTGCCTGTCGAACCAGCTGTCCCATGCGTTTCTTCTACGTGCCGGACGCAAACGGACAACTTGTGAAGGCGGTCCCATGCTACTACGCTTACCCGGCGGACTTCATTGAAGCATGTCGTGCTACTGCCACCATGCAGACTGGGACCAAGAGACCCTGCACCACATGCTACGTGGAGGAGGATGATCTGGCAAACCTCAAGCTCAAATCTACCATCAGGACCTCTGCTTCCCAGGAACATGCGGTGCAGTAGATTCTAGCTTGCAAGACCGTGAAGGCGGCTGAGAAAGTGCAGTCGGAATGGTCAACACACCCGATTGAGGTGATTTGCACGATATACCGCATAGCAACGCATGGGCGTGTGGGAGGCACGATTTGACGGCCGTTACTAACATTGTTACACGAGTGTCTTCACGTGCAGTGTGTGCTCAGCAGGTGGAACTTCTCGGACACCGAGTGGGGAAACCCATATGGGGCCAGCGTGGCTGACACTATACATGTGCTGGACTCCGGTGTTGCTCTGCACATGATCGAGTGCCACATCGACACTCTCAGCAAGCCCGAGCGGCGCACGGTAGAGGGGTGCGTGCATGCGAAAGGTGTGATATGATTTGGTGATTATAGATTGGCTGTGTGACATGTCCTCATCCCTCCTGTCTGCTGTGCTACCCTAACCCTCCGTGCAGGAGAAAGAAGACCACAAAGACAGAGACGCCGAGCACAGTGCTCCGGCTGCCGGGAGGATCCTCGTATCTGGCCAGTGGTGCCAACTACGCCGCGTTTGAGCACCGCGCCATGATGCAAGTCATGCCGATCCTGGTGGCGGACAAGGGGGCGCTTGGGAAGGGGCCGGACGCAGAGCTGAGGGCTATGAGAGTGCGTGCTTTCCGGTTATACGCAACGTTCTACAAGGCCTTTCTTGGCGTGGATGGTCACACGAGGGCGTCGCTCGCACACGCAAGGGAGCTCGCATACAGGTGAGAACCGCCTGCGTCCTATGCTGGTTTCTGTAATCCTGCACTACTAGAAGGACATACGGTCATCAAATGTATACCTCTATATCTCTTGTTGCGATGGGTTGGGCAGGCTGGTCGACCTTCTCCCACGAGCATACCCAGATCAGAAGTCGGGATGGCGGTTCCCTAAGGTGCACATGATCAAGCACCTGCTGGAGAATGTGATTCTCAGGGGCATGCCCCACCACTACAACACGGAGCTGTGGGAGCATACACACAAGGGCACGGTCAAGGTGCCGGTTCGGGGCGGCAACTGGAAAGACATCCCCCGGAGGATAGTCGAGGAGGAGGTGCAACGGGAGATCTGCCGGGAGGTGGCGGTTGATGCAGGCGGCGGGTGGCAGTACACCACTGCTCTCAGAGAGGTAGGGTTGCAAAGCGGTATGTGAGGTAGGGTCCCTTGGAGGCCACACACAATCGGGCCGCATCCCGCCTGGTGGTAATGAACGTTGCATTCACCGATGTGCAGGCTGTGCGGACCAAGAAGCCGGTCCTCACGAGGAAGGGGCGGCTCATGGTGCCTGGGGCGGAGGATGATGCCGTTTTGGCGATGTACCACGCGTCGCACGGTGACGACATGAAGGATCTAGTGGGATGCATGCGATCGGTAGGGGTGAAGACGGAGCGCATCCAGGTATGGTAGTTATTGCAGAGTCTGCTGGTGAGATTGCGACATTGAGACGGCTGGTAACTAATCACCCGCATCCCGAATCCGTGTTCCACAGGCACACACCGCCGTGGCGATTCCGCGCACGCGTGGGGGGGCGTTGGTGGCCAAGGGCACGTTCGTGAAAGCGAGCCCGGGGGAGAAGTGGTTTTCTGATGTGGCACTGTTGGCGCCTAAAGGGGGGGAGTGGTTTGCCAAGGTGTTGTGCATCTTCAAGGCGGCTGGGGATGAGGGGGAGCCGAAGGGCTACATGTACGTGCGGTACTATGAGCAGGCTGGGCTCTGTCCCCTGACCACATGCATCCAGCTAACACCCCACCGGATGGAGACGAGGTTCGCTGTGGTGGAGGTGGCCACGATCCTGAGGGTGGTGCACATTTGTCGGAGCTTCAGCAACCCCAAGGTGCTCCTGGTGAACAAGTTTCTGCTGATCGAGTGATGTGGTCGGGCCATTCAGTGACTGTTGGATGTCAAACATGTGTGTTACGTAATTACACAACTGTGACCAATATGCTGTGTGGCGTGGTGCTGGTTTGATTATCAGCGCCGGGAGGGTGATATGCCACCATAAACTCGTAACCCATGCTGAGAAGCTTCATTGTGACACTATATTTGTGGTTTATGACTGTTCGCAATTGTGTAGGTTGCAATGGGGCTCTGTTAGCCTTTGGCAAGATTTATGGTATGCTCTTTCTGAATGTTGTGTGCCTCGTGCACTGCGGTGTTTCGATCGCGTACGCAGGCATGCGCTGTTGTATTGAAGGGGCAGTAGTCGGGAGAGTACCTTTCAGTAGTCGCGTTTTTTTAAGGGTGTACTCCCTTCTTTTGAACTTCGCCGTGCGGTCGCTGTACAACGGTGTGCATGGGTGGGTATCGCGGTTGTGCATACCGGAGCGGATAGGCGAACCCCATTGGTGCGTGCGGGGGTCCACTGAGTTGATGCCACCTAGTGTCGGTGATGTGTACAGTATGTGGTTGCCGTTCAATGAAATCCGTGGTGGGCACCGTGTGAGGCTAGCGGTTCACGTGACATGTGGTGTGTTTTACGCAGCCAATGTTCCCCCGTACCTCCGGTAGTTCGGGATAAGGCGAGGGAGCGACGGTACGTACCTTCATCGGTTCAACCTCGGCTCTACCGTCTAAGTACTCGTCTCTTGTTTTTCGTCGTGGACCACAGCGGATATCAAGTCTGCGTTTTTCGTGCTAGACAGACGTCATACAACAGCATGGCCGCGATAGTGACTCTCCTGGAGGCTCTCAAAGCCCATCCTGACGATGTGTACTTGTTCTCCGAGTTCCCGTTCATACCTACGAGGCTCCCGGTGTCGGCGGTTATGGACGCGGAGTTCGGTATAGCGCGCGAGTGGCATATGATGGTGGGTTTGCTGGTCAACGCTTCTGGCTCCAAGTGGCGTCATCCGCTTGTGGTGTTGAGGCGGGATGATGGCAGGGCCGTACACAATGGGCGGCGTCGTGAGCATAATGTCGTGGT